AGAATGTTGTGATGTGTTTGGAATTGAAATGGAATTTTGAGATTATTTATTATCCTCTTCTGATTTGAACGGCAGTAATAATATCTTCCATATTCCCGGTACCTTCATTGAGTCATTTCTGTTGCATGTGTTGGGTGTAGACTCGATGAATAAGGATTCAGCAATCAACCTCTCTCTCCACCTACCTAGATTACTTTTTAGAATTTTAACCCTCTCCCATCCTATTGTGTGGTTGTGCGTTAATGCGTGAAGTACAATAGCTGAGCTTTTTTCTAAATCACTTATCTTCTCGGGGTCAACCATTCTAACCTTAGCTAAATTCTTATATTCCGACAATCGGACTACCCCTGGCCTACATAGTTTGACCTATGCAGTTGACCTAACTCACAGTCATTGCAGGGCATTTTGTAAATTATATTATTTGACTAATTGGGTTAACCAACAGGGTCTTTCAACATACAGAGCTTGTCTCTGAGTGAGTTTGTAGTTTTCAATGCCACCCTAATTATTGCTTTATTAAGAATCCTGCGTAGGGTCTCAGATGTCCTCTCCTTATATGGTAAAACAGCAGATGACTTATATTCTCCTTATTTATGTTATCATCACTAGTTTCACAATTATTTTTATTTTGCTTTTGGCCTTTACTGATCTTCCTAATGAATTTTACAGGATAGTTATTTGATACCAACGCTTCTTCTATCTTCTTTCTTTTTTTGTACTACTTAGTCCTACTGCTCAGTTTGTTAGACACTTAACTACTAAGATTAAAAGTTTCCAGACCGTAGGTGTTACGAACTTCCTGGAATAATTTCAGCGCCGAGTCATATTGATTCATCATAAATTATGTAAATTGATCCTAGCGTGTTAAGAAAATCGAAACAAAATCTGTTTTCTGAACGTTTCGCTATGTAAGCCACAGCTTCTTCAACAGACTTATTCGGATTTTGATTAATCATCAAAATATGCAGTCAAAAGGGAAAGTAATGGACATAATTATTGAAGAAGACGAAATTATGGCAAGTTTTGATGTGGTTTCTTTATTCACTAGTATTCCGACATGTGATTCCCTTGATATCATTAAGTTACAATTTAACGGTGACTTATCAAGTGAGATTTTATTCCAGGAGTATACGAAGAACACTTTACGCAGCACACCTATGTTTGTCATTCTCTAGCCGACGAATGATTGGGACGCAAACGAAGGATAAGTTAGATAGTTTTGCCACATCTATGTACATTTATCAATTCAACTGCACCTGTGGTGATAGCTTTGTTCAGCATACTACTAGATAGCTTAGCCAACGTGTTAGTGAACATCGCTCATCGTGGTTTGGCAAAGAACAGACAAAACAATCCGTAGCTCAATTTTGTCACATCACATTTAGTTGGTAGTGGTCATGTAGTGGAGAAAACGAAAGCTTTCAAAGTAATTCATCATATCCCACCGAATCTTTCCAATGGACTGAGTATTCGCCTACTGCACACAGCTGAGGCTATAGGCATTCGAACTAGTAAACCTAAACTATGCATTCAAAAGAAGTTCCTACAGCCATTATCCCTCCCTTATTGGCCTGTTATGACCTAACCAACTGATGACTTCTCCACCACCCCTTACTTATATTTTCAGCCCCTCTCTTATCATCCCTCAGTATTCTCACATCTTCACTAAAAACATGTTTCATTTACTTCCCTCGCAATGTAGCATTCCTCAGTCGGTTCATTTGTTTTTACTAGCCTTTATCGACTACTACGTATACTTGAACATTTGTTTGTTTAATCATGCTGTTTTTCGTTATTCGTGTTATCACAGATTGCCTCACCTTTTCATCCTCGTTATTGATAAAACCATTACTACTATTATGATTAATTGCAGAATTTATATTTATCATCTCATAGACAAAACACCATGATTGGTTTATATTTGAATTTTTATTTGTAAAGTTATGTAGGTATATTAGAGTTAAGCCCGATGAGATCTAATTGAAAGCACAATATTGTTCGCTTAAATGTGTAGTTGTAAATTTTACTACGGGAATATTTAATATATTAATTATTCCTACTCTAAATGTGTAAAAGTTCCTGTGGTTAATTTTACTTATATGTTGAGTAAATTAGATGCAATATTTCGACAGATGCTGAAAATTCCATGCTCTATTATCAGTACTGTTTTTTGGAATGAAAACAGACTATTATTGTTATAATTATTGAAAAGCTGAAATTAGATGTCAACAGACTGAATGGTAGGCCTAACACGTGGCCAGAAACACAAAGTATGCAGACACTTATTATCACCTTGCTGTCATCTTACTTTCTCCTCTGTGTTCTTATTCAGAAATCAAATCTCATTGTTAAGAAAGCGTGTACAAGAGCATAACATTCTCTGGCACAGTACAGTAGAGTACAGCATGATTCCATCTTCGTTTATTTAATTGCGTAGTACACAGACGTACAATATATATTACTTATTGGCTGACATTCCGAGAATAATTCATCAGTAATGCATGCCGTCACTTCATGCAGTTTAAAAATCTTGACTTCTGAGACTTCAGTTCCGTATGGATATAGAAATATATCCACTATGTGATATCATATAACAGTCTACAACATCTCGTCGGCTAGTAATCATCTCTCGGTAGGATCAAATGTTTAAATGTAAGCGGTTATTCATCTCCAAGTGAAAACATCTACAGATAAAATCAACAGCGTTTTCGTTCCACTTCTATACTCTTCAAATTGAATCCAGCACTCAAACCAATTGCTGGACAGACAACCACGCCTTACGTTTACTTATATAATGGCACCAGAAATTATTCTGATCAATTATGTGATTACTCTCCCCCCCCCTAACAGTTGCTCAGACACTACTCACGTCTTTTAGCTTCATTTACAAAAGCCAGCATTCATACACAAACACACACCTTGAAGAATCTTAAAATTTCATGTTTCCTCAGTTTCTCATCATTGAGGTCGAAATGAGACAGAAAGAGCTAAGTATTCTATGAGTATAATAAAAGTTCTGTCGACGTTCAAATGTTTTGCACTACAGAGACAAAAGCCTATTGCACGAAGATCGCATATACTTTATCATTCTCAGCCTCAACTTAGACCACACGGCTTATCTTTGTATTAGACTATATAAAGTTGTAACGCCAGATGAGGATCAATTCAGTTTCTGATGAATTCATACAGTGAACCAACGACTTCAAGTACTACGTGACTCCATGAAAGATTTTTTATCGACCATTCTAAACCTCTCAATTCCTTGACGTATAGAGTATGACAGAATCCATGTATTGAATCCCCGCTTCTCGCTATTGTGAATCCAACGCAAATGATTTGGCTTCCCTGAGTGTTTATTAAAAAGACAACTAGATGGCAACCTTGAGGTAAACATCTTCAGAAAGCCAACACATTCAGACAGATATCTAGACTACACCTCAGCGCATCCCTTTACCACCAAACCGTGGTCAGGAATCTCATTAACAGAGCCAAACGTCTAGGTACTTAGGAGGAGCAGGAGATCAACCGGGAACTAAAATTGCTTCAGTCTACTCTTGGATCGAATAGTTAACCCCAACACCTTTATAAAGAAATGTTTTAAAAGTAAAAATAAGAATGAATCGAAACCTGTTGCTGAGACTTCGGTTAGTTAAGTGCTGACTCCTTAACGCAAAGAAACATCGGGTGAAATAAAGCAATTCCTCACTAATCATGACATAAGACACCTTACACACGTCACTGTTGAAGATTAAGGGTAAAATAGAAGACAACCGACAAAATCGTGTGTACCAGACCAATGATCGGCATTGTGACGCTGTATATTCAGCAGAAACTTCCAGACAGGTAAGTGTAATGGTGAAGGATCATAAACAATGTCTAAAGGTGGTTGCAAAATCCTCTACAGATTTGAAAAAGCTAAGAACCTGATCGGCAATTGCACTACACTCGACTGAAACCAGACACAAGATCAACTTTGATAGGGCCAAAGTCCTACAAAAAAGTTTTGGTTTGTATTGACAAAGACTGACTACAAAAGGTCTACGTATATGGGTGAATCCCAAAAGCTTGAAGGTGTGATGTTAGCTGATGCACGTCAAGTCCTGACTAATAAACAAAAATGGATACGCAACACTAATCAATCATACCTAATCTAAATTCCCGATTGTCTACATCTTCTAATGGAGAGGCTAATAGATGATTTACAATTGTTTTCCCATACACACACACACATACTATTGTACACCGCATATACATATATAATTTTCATATTCAGTTATTTACGACGATGAACTTTAGTCGGACGTTATCACTAAACATCTGATGCAAAAGTACGCAATGTTTAGTGTTTAACAAAAGTAGACTAATATATGTAAGTCTCAGGTCGAATTTTGATCACAGTTCGTGCAGTTTTGTTAGTTGAGATGGTAAGGACATGAGTTACACAAGCTTAGCCACCGCCTTCATCGACTGGCAATTTTAGCTGACATAGGATTAGCTTTGAAAAAAAGAGAAAACTAGTGGTGGTCAAACAAAAAAAAATGGCTTCACCAGTCAATGGAATCCATAGCAATTACTTTAAACCACATAGGGAGGTGTAGACTTCCTGACTGTAGTCCTCTCGATTCTAAGAACCAATGGCTGGAGACAACTGATGATATGCCTCAAAATCTTCGTTGTCAATTGCTCACATACATTCACTCTTCGTGGCTTGTCATATTCAACAAAGCTCTACCATCCTACCATATTATCATTTTTTTTATCTCTCACACTTGTTTATTATCTGTATTTTGAACCGCTCCTCTCTAACTTTGTTTACTACATGGAGGGAGAGTGGCAAGTGGGTCTGCTGCACATCTGTGCAAAGTCCTACGTTGAAACAAGTCAGCCACTCGGGCAGCAATTGTGCTTATTATATTTTGATGCCTGTTTCAGGATCCATATGATTCGACAAAGCTTTTAAAGACAAATATATATATGTATATCTATATGTCTTTGTTACATTAATTTTGATTAACTTCCCTGGAGATGTTCAGACCAGTTGCCAAACGCAGGAAACGTTGAAATTACTTATGTTTCAATTTCGCTGAGATTTTACAAATATATAATTTTTTACATATGTGTCATAGGTTATGTCGACTTCTATACACATTGCCATGCAACTTAGAGAAAAGAGAATAACAGTCAATTATTGTTTTAAATCACCTTACCACATATGTGTTGCCGTTCACCTAAAAGTGTTGAACAACACACACATGTATAAGCGCTGCATATCTGTAGCAGTATTCATCACCTTCGAATGTCAACTACACACCATGAGACTATATACTAACTGTCAAATTGGCAAGCACATCATAACACATAAAAAATATCAATGTACACAAATCAGATACAACAAGAAGGGATATTTATAATTTCTATGTATCTTTTTTTTACCACAAAATATGCAAAAACAACGAACAGATAAAAGAAATAGCACAGAGAATAGTCGAGAGTATGTTGGAGTGATTTATAACAAAATAAGGTTTCTACTCACCAAGTAATAATAATAATAACAATAGTAGTTTCTAAGGAAAGAAAGGCATTTCTGGCGATCAATCTATTATTTTAAAAAAAACACCAACATTGCCACGTAATCTATGATGGTGATGGAAGAAAATTTTATTTATCACGAAGGTTTACATTGCTGCGGTACTTCATTGAATGAAACAATTTTTGAAGGTTCCACCATTCTGTCACTTGTACTAACACCAGTAGTAGTGGTTGTTGTAGAGTCTCCACCATTTCCCAGGGATAATTTGGCTGAAGTATTTTCTTCTTCTTTTCCTTTTTCTTGTGATTCAATTTTATTCGTCTCCACTTTATTAAGATCTTGATTTCTTAAATAAAGTTTATCAATTTCATCTAAAAGAAAGACAGAATGGACAAGGAGGGACGGTGTTGTGACACAATGCAGCAATATGCATATGAAGAATATAATCAGACCAAATTACCAAAGTATAACGGTGGGTCAGGAGTGCGGAAGCACCAGTAGCCTTGAACGCATACTACTCGTTCGATAACGAGACCTACTATTCACAACACAGTGTCACTTTGAACGCTGTGCACGGATAGAGGTGCAAATTTCATCCCGATCTCGATTTTAAGTACTGTTTGGACAATTTCTGCATAGCTCGTTAGTGCTACAGTCACGCTTAGGGTCAGGGTTGGAATCAGGGTTACAATTAAGATTGGGGTTAGTATTATTTATCTTTATTATCCACATTTGCCTAGTCAATAGTTATCGATCCTCTTAGTGGAGCCCATACTGATTCAATCGATGAAACCCTCCAACTAATCAAACACAATACCTCCCTACAAAACCAATACTTGAAAATGAATTAATCTGATGCTGACTAGCGACTGGCCCTATTTAGGCAGTTAACCTGTGGTTCTAGTGAGAAGCCGTGACCAGTAGGGCGCAGCAGGTTGAAGGTGAGGCAATAACCCATCGAAGAAGACATTGCGAAGTGGTCGCGCTATGTCATGAATCGGTAGATGTTAGAATTCATGGGCTGGTCATTGGATCGGGTCCCAGTGACTTAATGGTCTACGAGCTCGCTGGCCTTATAACCAGAAAGTCATGGGTTCGAACCGTGGTAGTGGCTGCATACTGATGAAGAGTCCCAGATTAGGAAGAAACAACTGTCCAGTACTCCCAGCTTTTCCAATGGTTCTCTAACTGATGTCAGCTCAGCATGAAACCCTCCAACCAATCAATCGAGGTCTTTTGAGGAAGAAGACTAACAAAATAGCATAAGAGGGATAAATGGGTCACAATAAGAACTCGTCTTCAATCACCTTGGTGAATACATGCATACAGACTGATCTAGCCTGAAAACTGATACTTTTCATCATAATTTGGAGGTATTTTTGAATCATGTCAGGAAAAAATATCCTGCCTAATGTATTTTCATGTAGTTCTCTTGTAAATAAACATCATATTTATATGCAAAACCTAATATATTTCCTGATTGGCCGGCTCAAGGTCACTCGTGCGTTCGCATTCGCCTATATTCAAGTCATAAATGTGAAACTGTTATGTGATCAAAACTCTACAGCATATACTCGACAATATGCATGATATTTTATAAATTCTAACTACTCTTTTGTTATTTTACAAGTGTATAATAAGAGAAAAACAAGCTTTTATGAACGACGACAATAACATTATTCCTACCTACTTCCATCACAGTGGTTAAATCGAGCAAATGACTGAAATTCAGTCAACCATGGGCAATCGCTTCATCGACTAGTTGTAAGTGTGATGTGAACTCCTCACCAAAGTGGAATTCATAATTTTCTAATTCCCCTTTTCATTATCCCCACGATCAGTTTCAGGAATAATCAACACGACACACACCAATTATCAGAGTTTATCACTCCTCCTCCCCCACCTCAACCTCCTTCTCGGCATTCAATACAACAATACAGTCGTCATTAGAGTGTGCGTGCATGTGTGTGTGTGTGTAGAGTTAAAATCACAATTATATGACTACGTGTAACCCCCCAAATATATACACAATATATTATAACAAACCTGAATCCAATGCATGAAATTTCTTCGGCTTCGAATTCACAGCATTGGCGTTTTCATTACTACAGTGTTCTTCATTGTGTAAACTCGCAAGTTCACTCTGAAGTCCTTCAATTTCTGAAGACAGAGATGAATTCAAATTTGCATAGTGCCATATTTCACCTCGAAGGTCATGATTCGCTAGAGCCATATCAACCAAACGTTGACGACTTTTCATTTGGCTTTCTACGGTTTCGTTAAGGGCTTGTTTTGAAGATCTACAGCGATTTCTATAGAGAAAAAAAATTATGAAAACGTTTAATATATATATATATATATATATATATTATTATTACCAAGTAAGTAACTGTCAACTCCGACATAGTATTCATTAACGCAAAATAAAGTCATCACATTTATTATGGATTGACATCAACCATATGCGCACATATCGTGTCTTCTAGTCATTTCAAATGATGAACGCTCATCAACATACTTGTCTTACCTAACCTACCATCACCTGATCATTATTCACAACACAGTTCGACTTAACATGAACGATTGATACGAATAAAAACACGAAGGTCTACCCTTAATACAATTTACACTTTCAATATCTTTTATATAACAACCGCAAGTAAAGTAGGTCACACAGATGAACTGACATCAACGTCCTACGTAGTAGTAGTAGTAGTAGTAGTCGTCGTAGTCGTAGTAATAAAAGAACTAATAGCAGTAGAAGTACTATTAGTAATAGTAGTAGTAGAAGAAGAAATGAACACCGTAGAGCCGTCTCTGTTCGACCACCGAGAAATCCAGTTGAACTAAAAAGGCTTGAAAAATCATTAGACATAGGTCGTCTACGCGCTATAGAATCAGGCCACAAAATTGATTTTGACAATATTGAAATAATCCAGAAACACTTCAGAAATCACAGAGAACGTCTAATATCAGAAGCCAGTACTTCATATCAAATGGAATCCAAATTGTCTCAATAGGAATGATGGACAAAAACAGAATTTGACCTGGTTACACCACACACAGCCCACCATGAAATGACGAAATCAACACGAATGTGATAAGCAATTTCATTACATAAACACGCGCTGCTTTTATAGTTTTACACACTTATCAAATCCAACAATCTACACCTGGTTTTGTTATCTTTACCAATTGGCCAACTTGACAACGCAAAAATGATCCCATACTAAGGAACGATGATTAGGTTGTCATTTATAAGCTGAGATTTTGTAAATCCTGGTTTAATAATAGTTTGATAAAGCAATTAGCATTAAATAGCGAAACGTCAGTAGAAACAATCTGCTTTTGTTTTTCATTCATTGGGAAATACAAAAAACCTTTATCAATACTGGGTATGTTATTTTGATGACATATTCGTAATAATTACAAGAAATGTGATTTGGAATACACTCGTAAACTAATAAACAACATATTTGAAGAATACATTAGATTCACAACAGAAGAAGAAGAATTAGACGACAACAGAATGCCATTCTTAGATGACTCAGTCAAGAGAACTAACACAGGAAATTTATAAACACAAGCACATAGAAAATCAACGCACACAGACGAAATGTTCAACTTTGGTGGTAATAACTCGATTGCACACAAAAGAAACTGTGTGCAGACATTGTTGTTTAAAAGAGCCCAAACATACTGGTAGCACTCCAATACTGAAGAGAATGGAAGAAAAATACCTACTAGCTGTCTTCAAGCAGAATGACTACCCACACAATCTCATCAAAACGTGTTCTAACTCAAGTCGTAATACCAACAAGAAACCATCACATCAAAGATCACCAGATAATCCAATCTATCATCTCTAAAATAACGGCTAGAATATTAAGACCGTTTGAAATAAATATAGCACACAAGCCAGCCAGCCAACACAATCACTTCATTCAATACCGTGCAGACCGAAAGATTCAATAGAAAAAGGAAGATAAGATCAATACCATTTACAAAGTAAATTGTATGAACTGCGATAAACACTGCATTGGTCAAAGTGGGCGGCCTCTTCAAATCCGAATCGAAGAACACAAATTGACTGCAAAAAGGCATGATATGGTGTATTCTTTCATATCAATGCATGTAGATAATTACAGACATCAATTTTATTTGATATAATAATGTAGAAATTTCGAATGGAGTAAACATAAAAAATACCAGAGAATTTCTAGTAGCCTGATAATCAGAGATGAATCGGCGATTAACAGATACATTGCCACAGATCAAATTTACCAACTAATAAAAGGTCACGTGACAAGAAAACTGAAATTCCAAGTAAGTAGAGACGTAAATCAATCAACAGTCACGACAGTGGTTGCCAGAAGATACAACTACATCATTCATGGAGAATTTAAATAAGTTCATTTTATACTGAAATCTACGCTGAAGATGTTGTCTAGAAAGGAGAACAACGAAAGCTTCGCTATTAAATCAACCAGCTCATAGAACACAACTAGAGCAAGATCATCCACCTGAGTTACAAATCTTCTGCATTAATTCAATGTTTAAACACCTCCAAAATGTTGATCACTGAATGACCACACTACAGCCTCAGATATTACAATGAGACATATATCAAGATATACAACAAATCAACAAATACACTGGCGAACAAGTCACAACCATGTCATATAACCGTTGAATGTACCATTAAAACTCCTGCAATGTCACATTTTAGTGGTCAAGTCAGCTACTACAGCAGGTAGACAAATGAGATAGACTTTAGGTCCTAAAGATATCGGGTTTTCAACTAATTCTATCTCATCCTATCCCATCAACCAGAACATTCTCCCAATCACATAAAATTGACATTTCAGTGTAACAAATGAGTGGAGCTAATTGGAAGTTAATGTGATTGGCGGACACTCTGATTTCTTTGAAAGAACCTATACGGAGGAATATTTGCGGGGAAAAATTGAACCAATTCAACTTACAAAATTATGAGATATCACTCACAGCTGGAGTAACATAACTCCTAGAGACAAAAATAAGCACAACCGAAATAAGAATGAAAAAGAAGATAGCAAGGATCTTTTGTCCACTGTTCCATTAGTCTATCGCAAAACCTGTTATTCCATATTAGATAAGTTTATTTGAAATATCACACAGTGATGATGCAGTATTAACAACTGGATGATAAGGTGTCGAGCGTAAATTATTGCCACTCATAATCATATCAATTTTAGTCACACAACTTCACAATTTATCTTACAGATATTCTCTCTCCATTTTCCCCTTGTTGTTTGTTGCCACTTTCTATATCTCCAGTATAGACTCTGCATCATTCCGAATGCACGTGTGTGGTTTTCATTCAATCAATAAACAAAGTATCAGTGATTAACCTTTCTCTCTCTCCCTGTCTCTCTCCACCTAACTACAGTACTTTTTAATACTTTCACCCTGTCCACCCAACACGTATTGGATGATTTCAGTAATTTCCAAATTCCTATTTACGCATATACACAAACTGTCCACATTGGATTGCATTAGTCAACGAATGGAACAAGAAAAAAATGTTAATATAAAAGAATATTATATATATATATATATATATATATATATAATAGTTGCAACTTAGGCACTGTAGTAGTAAAGAATCCCATACTAAACTTTTCAACTGATATAGCAGGAAATGGAATGAAAGTAGATTCTCAAAATTGTTAACTGGAGTCAATAATCTACTCCGGTCACTCTCAGACGATACACTGACGGAGTGCCTGTCATGATGTCACCAAAATCATTATCCAAGGCTCTTATACAGTGGGAATCAATCTGCTCAAGGATAATGACACCAAGATTCTACTCCATAGAAAGGACAATTACAATTACCCAATTCTACTCGCCCAAAACAACGCAGAGCGTCCTGTGAAGGAGAAGGAAGTCTTCTACAGACAACTGCGAGTAGTAAACCGCAAGACACCAAATGAAAGCATCAAAACTCTGATGGGCGATCTAAATCCAAACCAAACTAAGAGCAAACACAAGTTGGGAAGATAACCCATCAAGAGTTGGGAGGCTTTCGCTCGGCTAAATGAAGGAGAAGTCAGGACCAGTCCCCGATTTCTGTACCTTCAATGATTTAGTCATTGGAAGTAGGGTGTACAAGAACAAGGACATAAGCAAACCGACATGGGTTTCACCAGACACTAGATACACCAAAAATCAGACAGACTTCATCGCAATGTTCTAAAGAAAGTGGAGATTCGTTCTCCCAGACACAAAGTTGAGAAGAGCAGGAGATTTGGCTTCATATCATCATTCGGGGACAAGTTGAGAGACTGAAAAGCAACTGGGAACAGACCACAATTCAAGTTCAACACTGAGAAATTGAAGGATAAAACTACAAAGGACACCTTCACTTCAGCCATCAGAGCAAAGCTAAAAAAATTTTGTATCATCACCGAGGAAACCTGTGTGGAAGAACATTAGAACTCTCTAAATGCTATATGCAAGGAAACCTCTACAGACGTCTAAGGTAGAAAGAACAGGCAAAAGAAAGGAATCATTCTCTACGGACTCCTGGAAGCTAATTAACGAAGGAGGGATAGTGAAACAGAAGATGAACTAATGCAGAGAAGAAGAATAACAGAAAGAGAAGCTGAATTCAACGTAATACGCACTGAATAAAGAAGTGAACATGAGTGATAGCAGAGACACAAGACAATTCTCTACGACACACTAGACGGCTAGTGAAGTAGAACAGGCGGGCCACAGGCAAAAGAGGCCTTAGAACATTATATCAGATAACCAGGCTGCTCGCTCCCGACCGATAGCTGCTACCTAGACGTGGTGGTCGGGCTTGCATATCGCAATGACCCAACGATCTACACTGGCTGGAACTAATGTTCCTGTAGGTCCTACCATGCCAGGAAGGTTGTTTGGATAGCGGTTAGACAAAAAGCAGCTACCCAATCCAATACTATGATTCAAACAAATTCACAAAATATCATGCCGGATCGGTCGGCATCCGGATTAACAACGACCACGCTTCGTGCTGCCGTGTCACAGGGCAGAAGTGATTAATATGCTACTGAGACACACCAAACAAATAAGAACAAAAAAAAACAGGCCGCGTCTGACCGGCCTCAAGCAGTTGTCCCCTGGGCTCTGCGGTCACGCAACACTAACCTTTTCTCTATTTCAGGTACCCGAAGACTCAACCAACTTCCACGGTGTGGGCAGCCGGGAAGTAACAACCGCCCACACACTTCCAAAAGCACACGAAGCCTACCTGAGCGTCACTCTCCCTTACTCACATAACTTTCCTCATCTTGCTTCTCTACTACAGTTAGCACTTTTCTTCAGGCTGGTGAGTCATCTTCGTTTCACTCTGCGACCACAAACAACGATGAGAGCCATAGAAATACCCCAGATAGCCTTTTAAAGCCACGTCACCAACTTCATATAGGAGCTTTTAACGTCAGGACCCTCTGCCAAATCGGACAACAGGCATCAATAGCAAGAACTCTGGAATCTAGAGCCATGCATGTATGTTGTGTTTCGGAGACACGCATACAAGACCCGAGTGTGGTCATCCACTTGACCTCACCCGGTCAACAAGGTGAATCTGCGAAATTCACTTTAAGGGTGTTGTGACACCCCTCAGATAGCTCACGAGGACTCGCAGGTGTAGGGATATCACTGAGTGTTAGGGCAGAAAAATCACTTCTTGACTGAATTCCAGCAGATAGCCGTATGTGTGCGGTCCGTCTGAACGAGTCCGTTAAAAGAAGGAAAGACGGCGCTACCCGTCGTTGCCTTTTCGTAGTCTCCACTTACGCCCCAACAGACTGCAGTTCGGATGAATTAAAAGACGACTTCTACCTGAAACTGTCTAATTTGCTGCAAAAAGCAAAACGTTCGGACATAGTTGTTTTAGCAGGCGACTTCAATGCCCAAGTAGGGAGGTTGTGCCAGACTGACAAGTATGTAGGTGGTACGTATGGAGTTTCCTGCCGACGAACCGACAACGGTGATCGTCTTCTGCAGTTTTGCTCAGATAATCATCTGTTCCTAGTCAGCATGAACTTTAGGCACAAAGACAGACATTGTGTAACCTGGCGACCTCCATCAAGGAAATTTTTAACATTTAATGATAAATTGACGGCAGCGAAACAGTTACGTCCCCAACTAGATCGTGACACCGAGTCCTTATTTAAGGAAGAAATAGCGAAACGAGTTTCTGAGGTCGACAGCAGGACTTACCCCGAGGTAGCCTGGCACAACACACAGTTACCTGTAGACACCGCTGTCAAAGCTGTTAATAAGCTAAAAGCTAAAGTTAATAAAAGCCATTGGATCTCTACCACCTCATCCGAACTGATTGACGCAAGAAGACTGATTCCAGTGAGCTCCGATTATGATGAGGAGCGAAAGGTACTTAAGCGAAAACTAACAAAAAGTCTTCGCAACGACCGTGAACAGTGGTGGGCGACAAAAGCGAAAGAGAAGGAAAAGGCATCGGCGATTGGCAACACCAGACAACTATTCAGGCTTATCAGGGAAACAGGTGGCAAAAGGCAAATGATAAGTGAAACAATCTCGGAGAAAAATGGTACCATAATTAGCTCCCAGGATAGACGACTGAAACGCTGGAAAGAACACTATGAGGAGCAGTTTAATTGGCCTACAGCCACACTTAACCTGCCGAACATCCAACACCTCCCTGAATGTGATATAGACACAGGTCCTTCTTCCTTAACTGAGGTTACTAAAGCTGTCACTAATCTGAAGCATGGCAAAGCAGCGGGACCTGATGGAATGACTCCAGAGGTATTTAAGTACGGTGGAGACAATTCGGTGTCTGCATTAACTGAGGTTCTAGGCAGCGTCTTGGAATTAGAGGAAGTCTCATCGAGTTGGCGTTAGTCACTGGTCATCCCGATATACAAGAAGGGAGACAAGTCTTCTTGTGATAATCACAGAGGCATTAGCTTGACTAATATAGTATCTAAAGTCATAGGCTCAATAATCTTGAGTAGACTAAGTGGTGCATTTCTTCTACTTTCTTCTCTGGCTTTGTGTGCTACATGAAGGGAGTGTGGCAACTTGAACTGCCGCACATCGGTGCAAAGTTCTATGTCGAAGACAGGCAGACAGAGACAGGCTGCTCTCTATCCGGGAGATCAACACAGGTGATGAAACAAATAAAAGGTAGCCAAGGGAAGCTGATGATCAAGGTGGAGAAGTAGAGGACACAATGGGCTGATCACTTCAAATGACTCTTGAACCGACCGTCACCTACAACCCGTTCAGGAATACAACCAACAGCCACAGAACTGTCAGCGAACACCAGTCCGCCAACTAAAGCAGAAGTGTTCAATGCAATCAAGCTACAGAAGTCCGGGAGGACTGCAGAACGGGGCGGAATTCCTCTTGATGCACTGAATACGGATCATCGAACAGAGCAGAGCATGGCTGTCAAATTTCTACCTCAACTTCATCTACTCTGAAAAAGCCTTCAACAGCAAAGACTGTGAAATAATTTGGAAACTGTTTGAACACTATGGAGTGAAGCGTGCAAACCTATATCATCCTCACTCAACAGCTATATGATAACGCTACATATCAAGTGATTCACAAGAGAGAACACAGTGATGCCTTCGAAGTGAAGAGAGGAGTAAAACCAGGCTGATTACTGTCACTATTGATATTCCTGATTGTGGCGGACTGGATTATTCCATGGGCGGAGAGTAGGGAGAGGGAAGACAGTAATATGCTGAACCGGTAAGAAAACTCTAGACGATTTACACTTGGCTCGAGTGGAACCCGTATGGGAAACCACGAGTTGGACGTCATTCCGAGGGTGACATGGTGCAGACCATGTGAGGACGAGAATATAGCCTCTAGGCAGCTGGAAACAACTTCACAGAAAAGAATCAAATGGAGTTGTGCTGTTCAAGCCCTATGTTCAACTCGATACCAAAGCAGATAATAATAATAATAATAATAATAATTGTTATTTTGAAGAAAACCTATTAAGTATTTTACCAATAAAGCTCACAATTACCAGTTTAATAAATAAAGCAAAAATACCAAAATCATCTTACACTTTAGTAGATATCATTTTCTCGTAACTCTCATCCACGAGATTGAATGCTCTTGCCACCTTCACAATTTCACAGTTCCGATCCAACTATATTGAACAAAAACATTTAACATATTATATTACCGGTGAAAAACAAATAACTTCAAAAGTTACATACTATACCATGAAAAATAATTACTTCCATAACATACAATTATCAATTATGGATCAGATTTCAAATGTCTAATAAAACGAGCAGTAGCACAAAGTGGTACAAGAAAAGACCTAAATGATGAAATAAAACAGATAGAAGAAGCGTTGGTGTTGAATAACTATCCTATAAAATTCATCAGGAAGATCAGTAAAAGCCAAAAGCTAAATAAAAATAACTGTGAAACTAGTAATGATAACATAAGTGAGAAAGAATATAAGTCATCCACTGTTCTATCATTTATTGAGGGAGGAGACATCTGAGACCCTACGCAGGATTCTTGATAAAGCAATAATTAGGGTGGCATTGAAAACTACAAACTCACTCAGAGACAAGCTCTGTATGTTGAAAGACCCTGTTGGTTAACCCAATTAGTCAAATATTATAATTTACAAAATGCCCTGCAATGACTGTGAGTTAGGTCAACTGCATAGGTCAAACTATGTAGGCCGGGGGTAGTCCGATTGTCGGAATATAAGAATTTAGCTAAGGTTAGAATGGTTGACTTCGAGAAGATAAGTAATTTAGAAAAAACCTCAGCTGTTGCACTTCACGCATTAACAAAATACTACACAATCGGGTGGTAGAGGATTAAGATTCTAAGAAGTAATATAGGTAGGTGGAGAGAGAGGTTGATTGCTGAATCCGTATTCATCGAGTCTACACCCAACACATGCAACAGAAATGACTCAATGCAAATACCAGAAATATGGAAGATATAATTATTACCGCCGTTCAAATCAGAAGAGGATAATAAATAATCTCAAAATTCCATTTCAATTCAAACACATCACAACATTCTAACAAGTTACTCATTATGACTATAAAAACACTAGTCCTATTTTTCCCATCTGATTGTAATCGATCAATAACACTGGTACTATTATTTCTGAATGTACATTATCCGATATTGATTTTTATTCCAATATCTAATCGATTTCACACATGTATATAAGTGAAGGAAAAAAGTTGTGTGAGTAACTTGATATGACTATGAGCAATAGTTTATCCTCGAAACGTGGTCACATCAGTTAATATTACTGTACAACACTGTGTGATCTATCAAAATAAAATCTTATCCATAATGGAGTTATGCTCTACCACAGTGCCCAAGTTTTACACTTATATGAATTATACAATTATCAATACTAACTAGAGGCGAAGAAGACTACTCAACCAGATTACGTCTAGTCAGTCACTCAATCAGGCAGTAATATTATTAACAATATTATAAAATCATCAAACAAGCCAAAAACATTATTTTAAAATGTATGAGTACAAACAAATGTGTGAGTACATAAGATGATAATAATGGAGTGACATGCAATTGAATTAGATGCGATTACATAATCACAGCTAAATGTCAAGTGGCAAGTGGTAAAACAATCAATGTTATATACACAATAACTCATAGGATGTACAGATATTGGAAGGGTGTGGTGGTGTATATAACCACCACGGGGTTAGTAGGCAAATATGGTATGAAATTCAATAGGATGGAAGTCAACATTGCAAACAAGTATTTTTGATTTTGAATGGCAGCGGGGATAAGTGGAAATGCTTCAAAGTGAGAATACCAGTAATAATAATAACAACAATAATGAGATTAATAATGATACTAGTAATGAGGGGAAGGTACATCGACAAAACAAGCAAATTAAATGAGTGAAAAACACAATGGTAACAATAATAAAATACAGATAGATATGCATTTATCCGTCTACGTCCACTGCAGAAATACAGATTGTACATACTTCTTTTATACACAAAAGTCTGGCTCAAACTCAAGAATGGAGAAGGCCTCTCCTGTTTTTAGGAGTTTAGAACGGAGAAAATGCGGCAAGTTGACACAAATTCCATAGATGATCTTAAAATCGTGGTCAGCGTTGGTAGAGTGACATAAGTCGGTCAAGTGTTGTAGAATACGGCTCCCTTCACCCTCCCCTTTTCCTTTGCAAAACCATGCTGGAATATGTTCTCCTATTCGTGTGGAAAACGTCCTCTGGCTACGGTCAATGTGCCTTGCTCCACAAGAGCAGGTCAACTGATAGATGCACATGGAGGCAACCAGAAGGGGCAGCTTATCTTTTACAGAGGTGGAGAACAACAACAACAACAACGACAAGAGAACGCCATTTGTAGCTTTTCAGCAAAGGAAGTCTTACTGACTGATTTAAAGAGACGATTTTTGAGCATATCTGATCACCTTTGAATTCCAAATTCATGAATGTGGCTATCTTTGGAACTGAGTCAGAGACCCGTTTTGGACTGCGTATCTTTCGTATTTTTGTCAGTAAATCGGTTCGAATAGCTTTTTTTCTGCGAGCGTGGCTTTTAGGAAGGAAGGTTCTGAGTCAACGCAGTCAGAACTACAGATGTTTTTATCCTAAAGCAGAGCGGGTGAATTACGTCCCCTTTCCTGGATATAAGCACCCAACTATAAAATTAGTTACTTGTTCATTCCATGTACGTTTCCAGTGGATGGAAATTTTGAGAGATCCACCATTGCGTCTACTAACGCACACATCAAGAAAGGGAATGCTTAGTTCAGATTCCTTTTCTATGGTGAGTTGCAGAGAAGGATGTCAGTTGTTGAATGCAAGCAAGATATCATTAGGAATTACGTTCTTCTCTCAGATAATGAAAGTGTCGTCTACGTATCTTCTAGCAATATCAAAGCGACTGATGGTTTCATTGTGTTGATAGTTTCTAAGCTTTACTATAAAGCAATCAGCCATCAGTGGACGCAGTGGCAATCCTATCGCAATGGCATATATCTAACTAAAGATCTCATTATGGAAAGCGAACTGAACATTGAGCGTACATCTCAATAAGAGTTCTTTGAGGTAAGTTGCCGGCAACCCTACATCTAATCTATGTGCATCAACATAATCGCCTATATAAGCAGCTAATAGTTTCAGTGAGAAGGTATATTGGTAAAAAGCAAAGTCATACCTAATGAGAACATGATTTTGTCTGACACATTAGAATCTTTATTACCCTTGATAAATTAAAGTGTATCATCAATGAAAAAAAACTTAGATACACTTGCCTTCTAACTGGTTCCGGTATTTCAGCTAGCCAATGAGCACTTGCGCGATAAGCAGAACCCGCCATATCGAGGATCAGACCGTGGCGTAACCCTGTTTTTTTAATGAATTCTCGGTAGTTCATACAAACGTAGTATTATGCAGCCTACTGGTTGGATGCGTTCGTACAAATCTGACGAGATTACAAATTTATTTTTTTTCATGTTCTTAAAAACATCCGTCAGTTGATTTTCAACTAGATGTGTCCAATATGAAATTACATTCTACCGAAAAAGGCCAGAGTTCTACACTTTTACACATTATTGATACTTATGGTCTTCCTGTTCGAAGACTAGTCAATAAACTAGCAAGATTATCTATCACAAACAGAAGCAAGATTTACAAAAATCATCGTATATTTTTAACATTCGATGCTTAAAAAGTGGAATTATTCCTACATATCTTCGTCTACACGTTCCGGTTAAAACGAGAAAGGAACTGGAACACCTCAGTAGACTCTATTTAAGAGAAGAAATCCACAGAATTATCAGTAAGCTAACTGCCATCAGACATGAAATTGGGAACATCTAAAATCCAAACTGAAAAAAATATGGTAAATGACAAGGATTATGAAACATCTAAAAAGTCTAGTTTAGCTGTGCATTCAACAAATCCAAAAATACTCAAATTAACAAGTTCAACAAACATCGATGGATGACAGATATATTTATTCTGCTAAAGAAAAAGAATTCACACCAATGAAATACAGTCAACCATCGATTAAACAAAGTGGGCAGTTAACCTCTCAACAAGAGAAGAGCCTTAAGTCCTGATGAAGTAAAAATACTTGATGAAAAGGGATTAAACTTCAATGTAGCTGTGAATAGATTAAAACCTAAAGACGTCATTTAGTATAGTATAGTATAGTATAGAAGAAGCATTAAGTGAAATGGACAAAGCCAGTGCGGAACAAGTCAGATCACAATATGCCTTGACACTAAAACATCAGAAGAAAGGACGAAGCCTCCTACTAGCCCTATGGTGGTTATACACGCCCTTCCAATATCTGTACATCCTATGAGTTATTGTCTATATATGACATTAATTGTTTTACCACTTGCCACTTGATATTTAACTATGATTACAATTTTCAACAGTTGGTTTGTAAGGATTAGATTTATTTTGACGAGTTGATCACGGATTGATATCAGTTAGAGAACCATTGAAAACCACCATGGAGTACTGGACAGTTGTTTCATCCTAGTTTGGGAATCATAGGCAGTACGCACGCGCTGGTGGTCGCGCTAAATCATCAATTGGTAGAAGTTAGAATTCATGGATTGGCCATTGGATCGGGTACAAGTGGATGAATGGTATACGAGCTAGCTCGCTTTGTAACCGGGAAGTCCTGGGTTCGAACCCTGGCGGTGTGTGCGTACTGTCGATGATTCCCAAACTAGGGTGAAACTGCTGTCCAGTACTCCATGGTGGTTTTCAATGGTTCTCTAACTGATATCAATCTATGATTATAATCGCAAATAATTCAGTTGCATTGCGAGCTATTATTATTTCATGTATTCATGCATTTGTTTGAATTTTCTCACGGGATATAATTTCTTAATATGAAAAACCATATTTATACGATTCTATATCCTGACAATAAATCCGTTGAAAAGAGTCTCTTCCTTGAATAGTGTGTTCTTAAATACATAAATATCTCAGTATGGGTAACCTGTGTGCAAAATGTATCCTAAAACTGGATGAAATGTGTGTACATTGAACCTCTGCGGATCATTTTTGCACAGTTCTACATTGTAAATCCACTTCAGTTCATGCACTGATAGAAATCAGTGGGGATTCGAGTACCATTCAAATGGGGAAAAACCAACAATGTGTCAACAAAATGTCTATAATTTTATGCTGTGTACGCATTCGAATAATTCATCTACTGGTATAGCTGTTACGAAAAGTATTCACAGCATTCGTTCTACGACTTTCGATAAATCGCATACGCCAAACACCCTCCTCCTAGTGTATATTACTGAAATAATACGTATACAATAAAATTACACATCGAAGACTAATCACTCTCTCGGATTCCCCAAGCCATTACAACCTGAATCTTATGTATAAAAGCTACACCATCTATGTGGAATCAACATTCCTACAGAATCGTCTGAAAATTGTGCATCACTGGCTGGTTCCAACATAGATTTTTCCACACATGTGCAGCAGTTCCAGTTGCCACTCTCCCTCCAAGTAGTACACAAGGTTAGCGAAGAGAGTAAAGAAAGGTTCAAAATACAGATAATAAATATAAGTGTGCGAGATAAAGAATAGTAATATGGAAGGACAATAGAGTTTTATTGGCTATGACAAATCACAAAGAGTGAATGCAGATGCGCCAGCCATTGACAACGAAGATTTTCAGCCATATCACTAATTGTCTCCAGCCATTGCTTCTTAGAATCGAGAGGACTACAGGCAGGTAGTCTGCACCACCACACGTTGGTCAGACTAACTGTTATATAATTCATTAACTGACTCCAAGTTTTGGTTTGACCACTACTAGCTTTCTCTTTTCAAAGCTGATCCTATGCCAACTAACGTCGCTCGTCGAGAAAGGCGATGGATAAGCATGCGTAACACATCTCCTAACCATCTCAGTCGATGTAACTTCCCAGACTTGTCGATGATTGATTTCTCCTCCTTAACTCGAATGTGAAGTCAGTGCTACTTGCCATACGGATCAGAGACTTGCACTGCGCGTCGTAAAGAGCATCTCAAACAAACTACAGACCTTCATTAACAGTTGTCTTCGCTCAATACTCAAGATCAGATGGCCGGCCAGAAAAGATCTGCAACAGAGTTGGATCTCTGGGAGCGAACCAACACAGCAGGAACCGATTGTGAAACAAATAGACAGGAAGAAATGGAGGTGGATTGGCTGGCCATACTGTGAGGAAACCATCAAGTGACATCACTAGACAAGCCATCGCTCGAGTGGAACCCGAAAGGGAAGCGGCGAGTTGGTCGTCAGTGCGAGGGTGACTTGGAGGAGGTCATGTGAAGAGGAGATGAAAACGTGTGGGCAGACTTGGAGCCAAGTGAACACTCTAGCAGAGAACCGAACTCAATGAAGACGCACGACTGAAGCCCTATGTTCCTCTAGGAATTAAAGGATATAATAATAATAATAATAACTAGTACTCGACAGAAGCCTAACCTCAACAATACTCACCCTATTGTATCACCGAACACGCGAGATAGAACACAGACACCTACGATCAAAGACTGCTAACCAGCCTTTTCATGTCTTCCACTTGCAATGGCCATATCTCACAGAGAACCATTAGGGAGGGCTGTGTGAACTGCCAAGCAGTACACACATCTTTTGATCGATAGCCTGCCGGATATGACGTCTACACCAAAGGTGGCATAAGCTCACAGGCAAATGCCAAACGAGTCTTCTGTATCCGTGCTGAGATTTCAGTTTGCTGGAGTTGGCCGAAGAAACTTCCAAAATAAGTCAACACGCTCCACCAACCACTCCACTACCCTCTGTCTTTAAGCTAGGAGCAGTCAATGTAATCCAGTCCTGTAGTATCTATCATCTTACATTTGACAGGAGTAAATTCCACGCCACACGTTCCACCAAGATTGTTGCTCAGCTCAAGGTGTTCAGAAGACGCTGCATTTTGTCAACGTTTTCACCTAGATGGGACTAGACTATATTATCTGTATATTCTAAGTCAACGAGATTATTCCCTGGTGGTAGGTAGTAAGTCAATCAATACCCGAGTGACTGAAGTCAGAGTTGGGGTTAAGTTCATTAACACATCATCTTTGATGAAATTAAACAGAAATAGGAACAACAATAAGCGCATACCTGTCTTCACTTCAGATGACAACAAAACTTGTGCATGGCTTAGTAGTGTTGCGCCACTGAAAGGAGAACCACCAAGTCATGCTAATAAAAACACAGGTGAAGTGATACCTCACTCAAACAAAATTCTTATATAACAATCGAATAAAGACAAAGTCAACTGTACTACTAAAATGAATTTTTAAACAGTCTTAAAATTAGTCAGTATATTTTCTCCATTCTCTATCGATCAATATAAACAATTCAATACTCAATAAATCAATAAGTCAATAAATCAAATTCAAATACAACAAACCTCAATTCCTTCACAAATTTGTAATTGATGAGTAAGTTTTGCATTCTCCTGGAGTAAACTCTCTCTTTCAACTAATAATTTATTTACTCTATCTTGATTGAAGTATTTTTTCTTCATTTCCGCCATGTATTCATTCTGTAATGAAAGGATCATATATATATATATATACACATAAAGTTCAAACTGATGAGAAAAAAGCTGTAAACATTGAAGTTGAAAAAAATTTACAGCGTTATATAGTGTAAACCACGATAGATAACAACACTACATTCATACAATAAGTGAGCATATATCATCCAAGTAGCACTGAGAACTTCAGTCAAATCACAGGCCTTATTGTGTTCAATAACATATATACTGAAATTATCATTTGTGACACAGTATCAACTATATATCTGATGGTAGACTGGCTAACAAGAAGACAAGATGACAGTATTAAGCGGGGGGAGGGAGGTATTTCCTGGAAGAAGTTATGCGTTGGCCAATGCGCGCACACACACACACATACATACCTTTCAGATCATTTGTTCCTCTTACATGCAAACAAAATCTTATCAGTAGCATGATGTATCGAGCTAGAGAAATCTGCACAATCGACACTGTGGACTATGAAATAAGGGAAATATAAAACTTAAAATATATGACAACGGATACCCCGAAAGTTTTTTTCAAGTCTTCATGAGGAGAACAGATAGAGAGAAATGCCTGCGAATGGTGTAGATAAGATACATGCGTAAACCTTGGGCACTGTGGTAGTAAGTAATTCCATATTAATTTGTTTATTAGATGCATCACACATAGTGTGAAACAGTATTACTATTTACTGAATGACAAAGTTTCGAACACAAATTGTTATTGTTCATAAACATATCAATTATAATCACACAAATTCGCAAATTTACTTTTATAGTTTTTTTCCTATCTGATAGTCCTAAGATCTAATACAGTAGAGTGCAGGGAGAGATCAATCACGGAAGCTTCATTTATCGAATCAACTGCAAACCAACAGGTGTAATAAGAATGATTCAACATCTGTCCACTCAGACATCTGGAAAATTCTACTACCTCTACAAAAAATAGGCAAGAATAAAGAAAACTATAAAACTAACGTTTCGAAGTTGTATGATTATAATTGATATGATTGTGAACAATAACAAATTGTGTTCGAAACCTTGTCATCCAGTAAATAATAATACTGTGACATATCCAATAATCAAATTCATATGGTGCAGAAGGGACGTATATACATGACTTGATCGTTTAAAGGAGACACACACAACTTCGAAAAATTATAGTTAAGACATTTTTTGCCGCAACATTGTGTTTAGAATTTGCTATTCATTGTTTAATTCCAATGCAGGTGAGTGATAAGCTACCGAGTCTGACCAATTCAAGGTGCATTTACAAATTCAACTGTTCATATGGAGACACCTACATAGATAGAAAGATTTGGGAAGCCCACCGTCGCCTTCTGGAGCATTGTCCAACGTGGTTAGGTAAAGGTGTAGTGACGTCAAGCAGAAATTTCATACTGGCACACATAGTGGATACAGAGCACAAGATTTACAAAAATTCAGATTTTACAATTCTATACAAAGTGTTATCTCAACTCCCTAGGTTGGTACGTCTTCGGTTGCTAGGCTAGGGCTAGCTGGGGCAGTCACCATAATGATTTTTCAAGCCAGTATCTGTGCTCAAAAACGTTTGTTCAATCTCTTCACCCACCCACCCCCCACATTCTAAAATAGTTATCTCTCTTGGTGACACAGGAAAACTGTAAATATTATCTTATTATCATTTTATTCTATTTGTAATGCTAACTGTATTATCAATATCATTCTGTTGTAGATTTTAACCTCGGTTTCACAACTCATCATTATCATATTATCTAGTCGCTATGTGACAATAGTTACTTCCTCTCTCCACCCCTAATAACACACACACACACACATTCTATCTATACACTCACCACTACCTGGATTATACAAACATTTGAATCAATTTATCCTTGTTATTATTATTATTATTATTATGATCACGCCGATTGTTATCCATTAATTCGCATCTCTACACTCTGATCCTGGATATTTTATTAACCAAATTAATTCAAATGCACATGATTGATATTTCATCATGCAAAATGTAAAGCCTGATGAGAATTTACCGACAATACGTATTTGCTTAAATCGTGTTCTATAATTACCATTATGATAACACCTAAATTGTCGTGAGAGCTGTCTGTCAGCCGACAATCGCAGACAGCAATTTACGTCGATGTTACGTCCTGAATCAGGGTCATGAGAAAAAAACAATAACAAAACTTAACCTTGAGGAACTCACCAACCAATCACAGAGGACTTAATGTGTGCAAATACGATTCGCAGATATATATGGCTTAACTTTCTGAGAAACGGTCACAAGCAGTACAGAATAACCTTCAGCAAGAAAACAACCAATCAGACGAGGTTGCTTCTCTGCTAACAATAACGCTAATAATAATGTACATAAAAATCTATAAATATCTCTTGATTTTCTCAATAAACGATCTGTTGCCTGTCCCTTGTCGTCTGACGTTACAAAATTATATCCCATGGTGTTTCGTAAGTTAAGGCAATATACATCAACCAGCATCATCTCTGGCACCACCACTGGCAATGTCATACTTCCTACTTAAGACTTCCACACTGTCTCATAAAGCTTCATCCTGCATAATTCTGCACACCAAATACGGAACTAGCCTTCCCTGAGTTGAAGACTTCCCCGCTGATGAATGTTCAATTGTTCTCACTTGTGCAGGATGTTTTCGTATCGGATAGTTGTAAGCACCATTTTTAAGTTAAACGACGCGTCCGAATAATGTTCAGATTATCTTACAAATGAAGCGCTTATATTCACTCACCTCTTATAAATAAAATGTCCGAGTTATGAAAGTATATCGTAAGTCAGAGTATGTCAATAAGCAAAATAGACTGGAAGTTACAAACAAATTGTAGTTATCAATAAGGAAACATTTTCACCTTGTGCATAACTTACGACTTTAAGCTTATTTTCTGTTTCTGAACGCTGCAAATCTTCTTTCAATTTACTGATCATTTCCCGCTGTCGAACAATCAGTTTTTCAGCACGTCGGCGTCGATCTTCAATCTAAAATTTATTTAAATACACAGGATGACACTTTGCAAATATACCATATTTAAATGTGATACTGAAATGCAGTAAAACACATTTCTTTTGACTAACAGCCACACTTGTGTTAAGAGAAAACAGCATGTAACTCCAATAAAAAAACACAAACCACTAAGATATATCACACTATGCTAATATATGAATGTCTTTATATATATGTATATTATACGGTTACAAGTTGAAGCCAGGTTGTGTGTAACTGGTTTCAAAGAGTTACACCCAGGGCTTTGGAATCACACAGCACTAATGCTCTTCCTTTTTCAGGTATTCCAAGAAGAAACTGACTTCTGTCCATGGTGTGATGATCAGCCGGGAGGTGATAACTACTACACACTTCCATAACCTTCCATCCATCTTCTTGCTTTCTCCTCACTGTTCTACAGACACATTCTACGTCTTCTATCTGTCTATCTATCCATCAACTCTGATACCATTAATGGAGATTAAGGAAGGATGAACACTATCGTTAGTTGCTTAAAACCATCCTGTTGGCTTTATATTACAGCATTCGGCGTCGTTGTGTACTCCAGTTTATGATGATGATTGTATAGGGATCTACCTCACTAACATAATGTCTAAAATGTTATGTTAAATAGTCATGCATAGACTACGCGTTGCTCGGCAGAGACAGACAGATCCATGAAAACCATGCAGGTTTTAGACTCGGACGAATGTTACCACCATATTCCCAACGTTTGGTAGACTCTGGGACACAGGTATACTTACCAATGTTCAATAACACATGCCTAGTTTCTTGACCTGAATGCCACATTCCACTTCGTCCACTGAGACGTAGTGTGGTAATGTCTGACGATTAAGGGAGCTTCAGTAATTGCCAAATTCCCATTTACGCATTTAGAAAAAACAACAGATTGAGCGAAGAAATATATTCCTTTTCAATTAGTTTATCATCATCGGCTCTACACTTTGTTAATTTTTACAATTCTAGCTAATTCTATTAACTTGTTTGTGTTTTACGTAACTCTTCTGAGTCATCCTACTCTTCTCAGTCGTCATTATTTTACAGACCTATTGATTATGTAATAACTTGTTGCTAACGCCTAATTAATTTAATTAATTTTCACCCTTCGCCCCTTGGAAACTTAGATATCTTGTTACTAACACTTGTCAATTAGTTGTTTTGATGACCTGTAACCTCTTAATTTCACCCCACCCCCGTCTATACCTAAAACTGAGTAACTAGAATAACCACTTGATTGGTGGGACATTTTTGATGTAAAAAACAATATATTTGTGTGGAGCCAGCCGATGTGATGAGGAACTAATTGAAAAGGAATATATTTCTCCGCTCAATCTCTTGTTTTTTTTCTACATTAAGGGAGTCCCGAGAAAGCATACCGCACCAGTCCAGGCACTCTACCTCAACTCATTCAGCTCTGTAAGAACTTGTGGAGAGTTATCATACGAAGTAATAACAGCCAATGATATTCATCAAAGATGCACAATATATTCATTTTTGTTTAATTTCACCGGAGATGCACTAACTGATGTAACGACGTAGGGAGTGATTTGTTACCAGATAACAGTCCAGTCGATATAAGCCATGCAGATGACATTGTCTTTTTAGATGAAAACGCTGACAAAATGCAATCTGCTAAACACTTTGAGCGTAAATCTTCGTGTGTTTGGCATACTATGTCAAATGTGAGATAATCCTGCAGGACTAGACTGTACCAACTCTTAGGATAAAAATAACGAATGATGTGATTAGGGCAAGTCACATTAAGCCTAATGGGCTGAATGATGACGAAGTTTCAACAAGGATACGAAAAACTCGTGTGGCATTTGCGAATTTATGTCATCCCTCACATAGACGTGATCCGGCTATCAATCGAAGGACGTATATGTATTTCACACTTTACTCCGTCTACCTTTATGGCTGTGAAAGTGGAAGACCTAAATGGGCTGGCTGTCTTCACTTCACATGTTCCTCCCATCTCCCATGTTAAATGATAAGGAATACTGAGGTAAGACCAACTGTAAGACAAAGATGGAAAATCGATAAGGTTGTGCAGCTACATCGATTAAGATGATTAGGACACCTGTTACGCACAACAATCCATCGGAATCCCAATCCAGCAATGTTAACTGACATACGATTAAGCTGTAGAAAAGTAAACAACCGTTAAACTAAAACAAGACATGAATCCATGAATTCGTTAACTGTTGGATAAAGCCAAGTAGGGAGGTGTAGACTGCCCGTTTGAAGTCTACAAGATAGTAAGAACCAGTGACTTCAGACTGTTGGTGTCGTGGCTCAAAATTCTTCTATGCGATAAATACACATAGCACATACATTAACTTCTCATTACTCTCAATGTACTTATTTTTTCTCCTCTACATTTCCATTCATTATATTTTCTTGGATTTTCGCCCTCTACCTTAGTATACGATATGAAGTGTAAAAACTTGAGCTGCTGCACTTTCCTGAGAAGTTATATGCTGAAGACAAAGTCAGTCATTCAGTAAGCCGTCTATGTAGACTTAAGTCCTGGTGAGTGTCAGGAATACATACACATTATATTTTCAGAAAAATACTTATCAGAACATTGGATCATAAACCAACTTGAGAAAGTGCAGAATTCTCGCGTTCATTTCTCGTAGAATTGAGTTGCATTCTCAAGGATTCACACTGAGCTTGAGTATCCCGTAGTTCTGATTGACGTTCCTTAGTGGAAAAGAAATAAAGGTTAAGAGGAAAAATGTCTCATCAATCTAGAATCACGTCGCCTATAACAAATTTACAAAAATGTATCCCGTTGCAGTAGCTAGCCCAAGCTATACAAACCAAATATTTCGTAATTTTGATTAAAATACAATGCAATGGATTAGAATTTCTGTTACACTAAGACGAACGTAACTATACTGTGATATACAACTTGAAGCTTCTTTGGAATGTATAACAAACAACTCACTACCGGATTGATGTTATCCTACGAATAAAAGTGACGTGTGCTGTCAAACACAACGTTCTGCAAACCAAACTTTGGTTGCAACCAACAATCAAGATTCTGTGTTTTTAATATCTTTATAAATGAAGAGGTGAAAACTCTTCGTATGCTATGTCATAAAATTGCATTGACACTGAAATTAGGTAGATATAATCTGCACTCATCCATAGTTTAAGAAGAGGGAGTATAGGTAGTCGAGTGTGCTGACCACCTCATTTGTTTGGAAAATGCTAACAAAACCTTGGTTCCGCTACAAAAGGTCCATCTCACAGTTTCCAAATCACCCTCATCTTTCGCATAGACGTGATATTTGGATATCCACCAAATGACGTGTGTACTGTTCACTAGTTCACGCCATCGCTTTTTACGGCTGACATTTGGTCGTTGAAATTGGAATACTTGAAAAGGATAACCGTCTTTCAGCAATCAATCTTCCTTGTAAGTTGATGCAATATGGTAGTAATGCCGTTAGGCGTAAATTATTGAGTCAAGAGGGAAATTAATCAACTACATTGTCAAGCTGGATCGATTGACACGATTAGGGCACGTGATGCATATTCCAAGAACTTCAAATTTATTTACTCATACCTTTAGTTGACGTTCCAGTTCAGTGATATCTTTCCGCAAACTATCACGACCCTCTTCTACCTCAAGGATTCGTAGACGATGCTTTGACTCCTCCAGTTCCATAGTAGTTTTCACTATGGATATTTCATCTTCCAACCGTTTAACTTCGTCCGACAGTGCACTACTGGCCACCTCATCATCGTTGTCAGAAGCCTGAAGAGAAATAAATTTAACACCCAGCATAGATTAGATGTTAAACACGTCACATACAACATATTTCATGATAAAATCAATCTCTGCGGTAAATCCCCATACTTACAAACGAAATGCAACAGTAATCCTAGAAAGAAACTCCATACAGATAAGATGATTAGGAATGCTAAACTTATTCCCAAATGACTAAGTCATCGAAAACGATCACAGAGCAACGACTTGTTCAGTCTGTGTGGTTTGAAATTATGCCAAAATCATGTTATTAGCCTAGGATAAATGCTGCAAACATTATTATATGAAGAGGGGTATCCGGTGAGATCAATTAAAGGTTTCAACAACACAAAAATGTACATCTCAAAACTCCTTGCTACTGAAATGAGGTCAATACAAGACAACTAAACAGCTAGACTAATAATAGCCTCAATTGAATCAATGAAATAGTGTAACCTAGAACTAATAAACTTTCGTGAGATGCTCTGTATTAGCGTGCCTGTCCCACTAGAAGTACACCATAAACTGCATGAGTTGATCATACACAACAGAAAGTCTCCCCAAATACTCAACATTCCAAGTGAGGCAAACCAAATGCCTCATCAGCTTGAAAAAATCCTGTCTAATGAACTACCTAAACTTTCGGTACGGATAAAGAACATCTCCTTTTCAAACCAACACCAAGCATAACAAGTATACCTACCTCACAATTCTGAGCCTCAGCTTCTTCGAAAGCCTCCAACAGTTCCGTCAACTGAGCTACACGTTTTTCAGTAGCATTAACCATCTCAGTCAATGAAACGACTTTCTCTTCTATTGTTTGTTGCTTTTGTTCCCGAAGCTGGTCAGTGACAGATTCTTGGTCTGCGATTTTCTGATGATAATAAGGCCGCATTTCTCCTTTCAATCGTACTTTTCTTAATAATTTCTTATTCACTTCTAACATATCCTGTGTAAGTGTCGAAACGGATTTAATTCACATATATGTTGCACAATTCAAGGAATTACATAACAAAAAAGCAAAATAATTATCATTCCAATAATCTCGTCAAAAAAGTTTATTCCCCAGCTAATGAATTCGGCTACAAAAATGCTGTACACGGAGACCTATAGAGCGGACAAGTATGGAATATATAAAAGTTCGTTTGTCACATACTACAATGACAGCCCCATTCAGCTGGAATGAATATAAATCTCCTAGATTGTAAGATTATGTGAACATTACTAGTTGGATCACAAAAGCAATTGATACTCAGTTCTTACCTCATAAGAAACTTCACCACACGGTATCCTATTATCCTGACAATATTCGGTTCACAACACGACAACTGCGTAATTTTGCCACCAAATCTCTGACTGAAGAAGTTAGTACTATCCTACTTTTTGACCAAAGTACCCTACCTAAGCCTGATGCTAGCTCATTTGCTTAAACCGCTATCCTCAAGAGGCTTTGAGATGTTAGAAATGATCCAATACGTGCAAACTTTAATATATCCCTCCTTAAATGTTCTCAATAGACTGATCTAAATTAATTCAGTGACCACCACTTGAAAACCCGAGTATTACATCATGTGATGTCTGAATAACCTAGAAACTCTTATGTTAACTTAAGATGCCAAATAGTCTCAACGGAAGAATCCCATCTCGTCAATCGATTACCCATACCCCTGTGTTGCTAACGCTTAAGAGACTAACAGCTATAAAACAGAAGTGAACACACTCATGTTCCAAAAACCTAATCAGTGATGGATATCCAAAAGTATAAACGCCACTTGTACAGGAAACATGAATGAATGCATAGCGACCAACTCGCAGTGTAGAGACTCTATCAGTTCACTAAAACAGTATGGTACGAAGTAGTCTCGATGAATTCACTTGAGCACACCGACTAAGAAGAAGTGCAATCACGCCCACTGTATTGATGCACAAACTCCATATCTGAACACTTACCTCCTAGATAAGCATTAAATTTGTTATATCCAATGTGAGGCACAATGTATATACATATATATAACTTCATAAATACCCTTCTATTTATTTAACAATATTTGCCCACGGCAAATATATGCTTTAAAATAAAGCTTGAAGAAACAGGGTGACTCATCTTGTTTTTATCTCCTGAACCTTTATAACTACATTCAAAAGTAATCAATCGTCATTTATCTCTGCCAATTTCCTACACTTTCGTCCAAATTTCTGCCTTCCACGACCATAAATCGATATGTAGTTACAATTCGCTTAATCTCGCTTAATCCATCCCTTCGCCTCTTTCGAAACTCTTCAAGAAACAATCATAGCCAACGATGAGTTCACTACTCGTGAATTTTATCAAAATTTTATCTGAATAGGGTCGAAGCAAATGAGCGCTAATGAATCAGTTAGCAAACGATAAGTAACAAAAAGCCATCTGAAATCGCATTCACTTACATCCATCCTTGTGACAATGACCGTAGAAACGAATTCGCCACAAATTATCTGCAGAAAAGCAAACAATTATTGGAAATTAGTTTAGGTTGAAACGGACTAATTGATACCAATACTAGGCAAAATGAGTGATGGGTATGTAAGTGCCTGGCTTTATCCTCAGGTGAGTTTGCCTATCACACTTACCAAAAGACTAACTTCTTTTGCCTAGGTCTTAATCAGCACTCTACCTATCCTGCAAGTACTGAGGAACGAGTAAAAATAGAAAACAAAAGGACTCGCTACTTGCCTGTAACCAAACGTATATTTATAACGAATGTGATTATAACTCAATGATATAAAAACAGGTTTACCACTTATCCATACCCGTAGGAGTAGGGAGCTCGAGGGAGAAAGCGTACTAGTGCCAAAGATGTACAAGAAGCACAGTGCACCACGAGAAGCGAAGTGGCGAAGTGGAGGAGCGCCAAAACCTGGACGAGTGAGTTAAAACAAAAGTTCAATGTACACTACAGGTTATCCCCCCCCCTTCCTCAGAAAGTTGGTGGAGAAACCAACAACTTTCGATCCCAGAACATAAGAGATATGCCTTAGGAGATTCGCACAATAAAAGGAAGGGAAAGGAGCGGAGAAAGATAAACAATATTTTTATAAAATATAGAACGAAACGAAAAAAGGTTGAGGGGAAGAATGAATGATATGTACATGATGTATGAAGTAAGTTGGAATATGAAAGGAAAGACGCTGGTTATCTTAATGTGGTTGGACAGAGTTTTAACTTATTATTTTTTTGTAATGATTTTGTTATATGTTATACATTCTTTTTTCATTGATTTTTATGATTTTATTTACATATTTACATATTTTGAACTCTGTATAAGTAGGGGCTACGAACCACACACTGGTTGTATTGGTGGTTGATGATATCACCCTGTGCTTAGGCTGAGATCGGAGTGTGACTCATTAGGTCTAAGTTTCGTCTTAACCCAGTGCTTCACAATTCCACTTCATCAGCGAACATACATCAACACTGAGGACAATAAATATACCAGCGTAAGAGAGGAACAAAGTGAAATAAAAGAAAAATGGAAAGTGGTGTAGAAATTCGCAAAATCGTTTTTTGGCTGACCTTAAATATCACGTTCTAGAACAGCTGTTAAAATTTCACTTGGAAATTATTTTGTCAATAATTTTTGATAAAATTGTGTTATGTTTTATCTGGATTGATGGGAATTCCCATTTTCTGGCCAGTTATGTTGGTGTCGCGTCATATAATCCGACTGCGACACCCCCTAGCATATTTGTTGCAACGATCAGTGTTTCAGGCAAACTGTAGCAAAATATCGCTATAATGAGGAAGATAGGATAGTTGAAGGGTAATGTCATCTACACAAATAGTCTACTTTATTTAGATGCCGCATCTTTCGACATGGTATCATTCAATGGAGACTTCACGTCTCAGGATAATAATTCAGCCTATTTTCGCATGAAGAACAGTCCTTTTTGACAAAAGAATTCTATAAGTACTTGGAAATCACCTGTAAATGCTAACAGAGCCTTCTGTGGAATAGAAGTAATCATGTAGATGTGTCTCACCGTATGTGTGTTTGGACAGGAATTATCGTAAGTTGAGAGGTTATTTCTAAGTGTATTTCATGTATATTTGCACTGTTTAGGGTAGCGTGATATGAGTTATGTGGAATCAATGATTATTGCAATTGCAGTACAGTGGAGAAGCCAACCACTCGTTTAAATTTCCTTACTATGTCACTTAGTGCATTAATTCAGTGTATAGTATTATTATACACCTGGATTGTGTCGATTATGAGAACTGAATCTAGTCAGCTCTATAACTATCAATCTACTGTCTGTTATGCCATTCTCACTGGCACTGTAAACTTAATGCTGCAATTTTTTTGGTGATGAATTTTTCCTGAATTTTCCATTAACATGAAGCAGTACAGATGCCGCATCACGACTGCAAGTTTAGGTTGCATTATATATCATTGTTATCCTCATCAACACAACAGGTCTGCGTATCTTACAATATTTTAAATGTTTCTCTATGCTTCTAACACTGTGCATAGCTGTTTCGAGTTGAAGCATGTTCAGCTCATATTTGATGGCTACAGATTCCTTAATGTGAGAATGTAATTTCTGTAGGATTCATAAAACTATGCTCATTAGACATTACTGAGATTATGGATCAATTTCTAAGTTACACATTTACAATACTTCATTTGATGTAAACGTCTTTAGTGTGAAGTTGATCTGCAAGTAGTCTTAATAAGAGAAAGACGCCTCGACAATATTGATGTTTCAGATATTGTCTTAAAATTTGCGTATAATCCTCTAATACTGGAAAACATATGGGGTCTGTTGATGCTTATGGTGTCAATATAAAAGCCAGCTGTAAACTACAAATACATTTATTTGCATGAGATATTACTTAGTATTAACAGAATCAGTGTATTCATAGTGTGTGCTGATATGTAGAATTATCTTTCATAACTTCATGTTGTGCTAGTCCTTACATGTGCTTTATTTTTTTCAGGTTGTCGAATATGAAATCAGCGGAAATATCATTCGGTCAAACTAACGTTGCTACTCTTCATCGGGATTTTCTCTTGTAAATTAATGAAATGTTTAATATACTCTTCAATTCTACTTCGTCTAAACTTTTTCAGTGCGTCGCTATACTATGTGCTTTTGTAATAAGTGAATTCGGATCAATGCATGATAAGCTTATTCAGTGGGATGGAGATTTATTATAGTATTATGAGACTGTCACCTTATCCCTTCGTAAGATTTCGTGTCTGTTTCTATACAGTGGCACATTGTAAAAACTAAGTAGGATTTAGCAAGTTGAATAATAATTCTGTACTGTTCGATACGCTAAAATCGCCTTATCTAGCCAGTTGCAAGTCTGTATACTGTTAAATGCCAAGTATGAAGTACAAGTAAATGTAATAACTTAGGCTTGATAGGTACTTCACTAATCTGTTGATATGCAGTGACATCATCAAATAGACTGTTCACTTGGCAGTGAGCAAAGAAACAATTTTCATCTATTTCTAATATGCCGTTGAATCATATGATGTTATCTAATATCCATCATTTCTATGATCAACAACTGCGGTGTTTGCATATCTACTTTATGAATATTAAATAACTGACGCCTTTATGCATCTAATTACCTCCGGTATTACAACGGTATTTCCTATTCATTTGATATGTGTACGGTAAACAAGGCATTCATACATTCTCCCACAAATACCAAAGTTTCTGGTGTCACAAGTGTTAATAAGAGTTGCTCCTTGGTTTCAACACAAATGACGTTCTCCAGTCGTTGAACCCTTCTTGTAGCCTGGTTCCAGATTGTTTGCCTAGCCTAAATTCTTAAAAAATGTGCAGATATCCTGTGTTTTCCTCTCATGGACATATTTAATGAATCTTTTTCCAGAAATGTTGTGCCAGCCGTTTGGAAGGACATTAAAATTGTACCTATACCTAAGTCGTCTAATATAACATGTTTTAAATTTAGACCTATTGCTATTACCTCCCCTTTTCTAAAAGCTATTGAAAAGTTACTCTTACTTAACCTTCAGCCTTCACTTAAAGCCTTTAACGATCCCGAATATTTCGCCTATAAACACAGTAGAAGTACTTTAGATGCAGCTGCAGTCTTGCATCACAACAATTTCTCCATTATAGTCGTCCACTACCAATTGTATTTTTGTTTGACGAACTTAATGTACATATGCATACGAAATGAAATATGTCAAGTGCGCGGACTAACTATTCCAGTGTCTTTTAATTCGCAGCTACACTGTACAAAGATGAACAGCTCTCTATCAGGAGTCAGAAAATGCTCTTAAACTAAATCCTTCGAAATGTCACACTGTTAATTTCAGTTTCCGATGTAAGAGAAAGTCAGGCGAAGCTGTTAATTCCTATGACCGTTGAAAAATTGATGACAGTGATATAGAAATCAAGTCTGACTTTCAGTATCTCGCACTAATTCATCAAACAGCCCATTAACCCTTAATGTATACCATTTTTTTATTTTTTATTTTGATTACAGCTTCATTCCACACCGTATTTTCAGTACAATTATGGAATTTTCAGCATGGATATCGGTAGACCAAATTTACAGGCCGACCATAGATATCGGGTGTGCGCCGGCAGGGGATCGAACCCCGGACCATGTGCATGGTCGGCGAGAGTCCTAACCACTATGCCACCGACTCCACATGAAGGCATAATGTTTATGATCTGGATATGCAACTCCAGGTGAGCGCTTGTACGGTATATTCATTGTTTATATATATATATTTATTCCCGTTTATGCAGGAACATACCAATTGTACAGGCGTGGCTAAGATATTATACAAATTACACATGTTTCGATGTATGTTGAATTTACAGTTTGTTTGTTCAATCTAACATTAGAGTCAGTCAGAACAGTCTGCAAAATAGTCTGTCTGTGTAACACATAAAGAGATATAGAAATATTGTCTTCGCATTAACAAAATACCCAGACTTCAGATGAATGTAATACAAATATCTGGGAAAAATAAAGCTTGAAGTCAATTCTCCTATATAACTTTGTTGTGAGAAGCATCCTTGAGATAAAGTTTATTGATGTATTATTTTGAGTCAATAATGTATTTATTCCATTTTTTCACCAGTCTTATCGTAGTTTTATAATAGGAAAGAAATTTGATCTTTGATACGAAAATTAGATAAGTTCATGTTAGATTGTTTTACTGCAGCAAATGAGGTCGATTCTAGAACTATACATTGGCGCCATTTGCGTCAGCATGGCAGACTGTACATGTAAGTTGAGTAATACATTGAAAACTACTTGAAAATCAGTTGTTTCTTTATATCAGATCAAGAATACTCCCTGTACAGAATGTTAGCCAGCGTTTTCAAGTGGTTGCATCGGATCGTTCATGGAATTTGAGTTTGAATTTACTTAAATGGTCATTTCAGTTTAAATGTTGGGTTGTTCGACCTCGACCAGGAGGTATATAGAGGATTACGCTCAGCAGGGAGATAAATTATGTAAATATGGAAAGAACATTATTATTTTATGTACATATAAATGTTTATAAATGTATATCATTGTATAGTAAACACTACCCATAATCTAGTTGTTTCTCATGTAATTTTGCGAAGTCTTAGAGTTTATTTAGTGTCGTAATATTTAATAATGAGTCTAGGCGTTATAGTGTTCTCATGCGTTTTGGAAATAAGTGGTGCGGTGTGATTGGCATAGTCATTGGGATGAAGCAGTTTATATAGCAAGCGTTTGAAGGTTATAATAGAGTCACAGGTCCTTATTTCTAGGGGTAAACTGTTCCAGATCTTGGAGTACATGACTATGAAGAAGTTTGTACGGAGTGCTGTCTTACAGTTTTTCCTGGATACTGTGCACGTTTGGTTACGCAGGTTGTAAGAGCCTTCCGGTGAGAACTGTATCTCCTTGCTGTCTGAGAATGATATTTTATGCAAGACTTTAAAGAAGAGTGTTAGGTTAATGCTCAGTCGTCTCATCCAGAGTGGGTCGATACCTAGAGTTATACACCTTGATGTGTAGTCCTTTTCGCAGTCAAATCCTAGTAGTTTAGACGTGAAGTATCGTTGGACACTTTCTATTTTAAGCTTGTCACTTACGCGAGTGCTGCTGAGAATAAATGGACAGTATTCAAGTAGTGGTCTGACACAAGTTTTATATAATAATAGTTTCGCCTCGTAGTTGTGGAAATTCCTGAGTATGCATCCTAAGAGCATCCTCGATTTACGCGTCTGTGTCGCCACTTGCTCAGAAAATGTCAAGTCACTAGAGTACCTGAGTCCTAGGTCAACAACACTTTGGAGTTCAGGCAAGTCAAGAGATTCAAGTACCAGTTTAATATTTATTGAGGGTGCACCGAAACAGATCCAACCACATTTTTTAAGGTTGAATTTTAGGTTCCATGTGGAGGACCATGCGGTTACTCGATCAAGTTCTTCCTGAACAGCTTTCTGAAAGTACCCTAAGTCATCACAGTTGAATGTGTAAGCTACTTTAAGATCATCGGCAAAGATGAATGGTTTTCCAAGTGAGAAACAGCTGCATATGTCGTTGACATATAGAGTGAATAGAAGGGCGCCTAAGACGCTACCTTGAACTACTCCAGAAGTGACTGGACTAGGTTTAGAATTTACAGAACCCAGTCTAACTACTTGGGGCCTATTGTTAAGGAATGATTCAAGCCATCCTAATAATGGGTCACGTATTCCTAAGGAGTTTAGCTTATTTATTAGGAGCAAATGGTCAACGCGGTCAAAGGCTTTGGATATGTCGAAGTACATGACTAGTACTAGCTGTTGTTTGTCTCGGCTGCTAGTTATGCAGTTAAAGAAGTCAAGGTGACATGTCATGCATGATCTGGATTTTAGGAATCCATGTTGGTTTGGACTTAGAATATTGCAGCTGAGCACATGTTTGAGGATATCATCTTTAACTATTCGTTCAATGATTCTAGATACTATGGGTGTAATATTGATTGGCCTATAATCATAGTCTCAGAGCCTAACATCAAAAAAGGTGGGAGGGTGGAGTTAGCTTATCGGTAGATATGGTGGCGGTCACTAAGGTGAATCGCCCCATTCTGCAGGAACAGCATTAAAAATTTGAAGGCTCGAGATATTTCTGATTTTTATGAGGGCTTAAATCTTTATCTTGAAAAAGATAACAATGAACGCCTTGACAGATCATGCTTCTACCTTTAAATATATACCATTCACCCAGCCTATTGTTGAGATGCGACCATGTGGGATCTGCTCAGATTTATGGGGCATCTTATAAATTAACTTGCTGTCTATCGTCAGATCTTTTCATACCACTCCACAATGTCTTATCTCATTTATTTTCTGACAACGTCTTTACTTGATCCTCATTTTACTCCATTAAACTTAACATCTTATAGCTCTTCATTACTTATTATACTCCTACTCTCTGAAGGGTACGGTTGTGCACTAAATGCACAAAAAGGTATAAAATAAAAACAACTGGCATGAGGATAATTGTATTAAAACCAGAAGTGGATATCATGATAGTTTGTGATATATCTGTAGCATTATACATTGCAAATGAATGTTGTTACCCTAGGGTGTTTCCTTTATTAATGCATTTATTAATGATACTTGCACTTACCTATTTCATTACAATTTAATGATTCACCTCAGCACTTTAATTTTTCTAAAACAGATTCCAATCCCTTGTAAAAGGTGTACTTACCTCAATATTGGTTGGTTATCGTGTGCCTACAACCACGGGATGAAAACGGAACGAAGTCGATTTTCCCGCTCAACCTGGAGGACAACTGTACAATTCAATAACTATACGGCCTAATTCAGAAAATGAGCGTATTATATGCATCGAATATTTAACAGTTGAAATACGATTAACTTGTAGACAATCTACGATTTGATATTATATCATACTTGATCGTGCCTGTAAAAATGGCATGCATTTTCATGTAAATTTGTAAATTTATATGAAATACATTATTATTATTACTATAGTTGTTGACTTCAGTTTTTGATCCGGATTTGTGTTTGGGTACTATAAATGTCGTTTTCCATTTATCTGGATAGGTTTGGCTTTCTAGGGACATTGTAAAGATCTCAAGTAAGAAAACGGAAATGTCAGAACCACCGTGTTTATAAAGATACGATGGTATACCGTCGAAACCAGCACTACTAGAGCTTTTAAGAGTATTAATGGCTTGGTTAATATTAGAATAAATGAAATGAAGTGAACTGATTTCTTTCAGCGCTGGAGAAGAAGGGAGTTCTATTGTAGATTGTAAACCGAGAAGTGGACTTGTAGGCTTAAGGTAGTTAGCTGCAAACGTCTCATTAAACAGTTCACACATGTCTGCATGGTTGCTGTATAGTTTGCCCTTGTTTATAAGGAGAGAAATTTTATGGCTTTGGTGATTCATTCGTTTCTTTTGGATTTCTGTGAGGGCACCTACTTTGGTGGTGCTGGCTATTACGACCACTGCTGTCCTATACGCCTTCAGTTCGAAACGCAGACAGAGGCTAAAAAATTCACCAACACACAACGTATCCTATTACAGGACACAAGCTACAAACAGGTAAAAGTTGTAGCAGATAAGACAGTGATTGAAAGGCGTGCTTACAATCACCTTAATAAACCAAATGGCAGGACACCTCAAGCCACTAAAATAGATATACACACTACCAACACGGTAGAACTCATAGCCTCCCCCCTCTCTAATCCCGTAAAAATAGCTCCAGAGAAAATGAAACCAAACGAAAGACTTGTGAGCTATAGTCTTACTCCTAAAGTAACCTCTCCTCCCTCTACGGTGGATCTAGATATGTCTATGGACAGCCATAAGATGGTAATCAATCCCTCTTGTAAGCTGACAACATCCTCTCTTAACCAAAACGTGACAACGCAAATGGAACTCGGTAACAAAACAGGCCGAAATACGCCACTTGTTGCGAAGATTCCCCAACATATTCAGACTCCCAAGAATAACTCACGCTTTAAGGTAAATAATATTCAAAACCATGCTAGCAACCAAACTAAAAACAAAAATGAGGACATAGAGCCCAAGGACAACAACGACACAACCTACTTGCATACTGTGCCAAGTCACACTGGTAGCTGGTGTAGTGACGCTATCACGCAAAGTAGTAAAAGTGACAACACTCGGAGCTCAGCCACCAGGCATGACATACAAACTAACTTTGGCAGATTATACGGAACAAGCCTTCTGGGAAACAAACCACAGTGCAGCTACGCACATAACGACACCCATGTAAGGTCTCTTGGAATGTCCACACACAGTAGGCAGATTAACAAGTCATGGGTATCACAAGGTACCAATGATTTTTTATCCAACACATCCCTGTCAGCGCTAACCAAACAGCTGGTGGGGATGTTAACCCTTCTGAACCCATACAACCAACGTTGGCCCCCTATCGGGAAGAAAACGGACATGGGCTAGTACATACGGAACTATTAGTCACACCCAAAGATTGTACAAGCATATGCCAAATAAAAACCTCAACCCAACTCTCCAACCTATCCAAGCCTAGAACCACGTCATTGTATAGTTTATCTAATAATCAAACCCATTACCCACTAAAAAAAACGGATAGTAACTTGACAGACATAGGTGGACAAACTAGTTGCAACACAGGGTTGATATGCCACGCGGAAACAGCGGATGCCGATCCACACTTGAACCTTATTGACGAGCTTAAACACTTCAAACACTACTTCAAATCTCAACTCTACTTAATACTTATTAATGCTAGATCTATCCTTAACAAACTACCGATGCTCAGGGCACACACACTGGTATACAAACCCCCTATAATCATTATTACGGAATCCTGGTGTCACTCCAATATACCAGACGAAGAGATAAGCATCGAAGGGTACATACACTTTCGCTGTGACAGGAAGAGTGGTAAGGGAGGAGGCTGTCTAATGTACTTCCTGAACACACTTACTGTATTACAGCTAGAAAATAAGGAACTCAATGACATGCACGACACCCTGTGGGTCAACGTACACTTCAAAAGTGCTACACTACTAATAGGATGTATCTACAGAGCACCTGGCACCTTTAGTGATTACGAGACACAACTTATAAATGTACTGGAGCAAGTATCCACTCTTCCATACGAGCATAAGATCATATGTGGAGACTTCAACCTACCCGAAATCAACTGGGACTTATTAAAAGGGCCAACTAAATACGACAAGCTCTTAGGGACACTGGACATCTTCGGCTGGAAACAAACTGTCACTATCCCTACAAGAGGTGACAATGTACTAGACTTAATATTCTGTCACGATATAAGCCCCCTCTCAATCTTAGTGGGTTCTAAGTTTTCAGGTAGTGACCACAAAACAGTAATGTGTGCTCTGCCACTTCCACTGAATAGCAATGCAGCTCATACCTCCACTTCACAACAAGTACTATATAGGAACTATAGTAAGGCAAACTGGACCTTAGTAGAATAGTGCTAAGATCCTCCGAATGGAGCGAATACTTCACTACTGATGACCTCTCGAGAGCTCTGAGCATCTTCTACCATAACTCGAACACATGCTTAGATGCTGTCATTCCACTGCAAACACTTGAGCTGTCCCCACATAGGAAGTCATTCATAAAATCAAAGGATCGTATGAAACTGAAGAAACTCTCAACAAGTTACTTCAAACACCACGACTTTGGCACACTAGGTTTAATACTTAACACCCTTAGTTCCATCTCACAAGCTCGAAATTTCCGTATGAGAAACGAAGAACGCATCGCAGTAGCCAGTCCTGCTAGAGTGTATGCACTCACGGAAATCTTAAAGAAGCGAATGAATCGCAAAAATCACAGCATTTCCCTCCTTATAGACAAAGGTAGGCTATGTACTAATTCCGCAGACATGTGTGAATTATTCAACTCAACTTTTGCAGGTAACTACCTTAAGCCCACAGTCCAGTTATCCAATATACACCCTGCTACTAATGTGGCACAAACTCCATCTCCACACACACCAAACTTAATTAGCACTATTGAATTTAACTATACTAACATTAAACAAACTATAAGAACCCTAAAATGCTCAAAAGGTTTCGGTACTGACGGCATATCATCCTATTTTTATAAATATGGTGGCCCTGACATTCCCTTACTCCTGCTTAAAATATTCACAATGTCCTTAGAAATCCAAACTTACCCTGATGTATGGAAAACAACGTTTATTATGCCTAAACACAAATCTGGCTCGAAAACAGACGTCAGTAACTACAGGCCAATTATTATCACACCTATAGCTTCTAGAATTATGGAAAGACTAGTTAAAGACAACCTAATGAAGCATATGCTTAGTTGCAACATTAGAAGTCCAAACCAACATGGATTCCTAAAATCCAGATCTTGTTTAACATGCCACTTAGACTTCTTTAACTTTGTGACCAGCAGTCGTGACAGACGACAACTAGTACTTGTCATCTACTTTGACATCTCAAAGGCATTTGACCGTGTCGACCACTTACTACTAGTGCACAAGCTGAAATCCTTAGGAATAAGTGACCCACTATTAGGATGGCTTAAATCATTCCTTAACAATAGGTCCCAAATAGTTAAACTCGGATCTATAACTTCGAAACCTAGCCAAATCACCTCTGGTGTAGTACAAGGTAGTGTCATTGGACCCCTTCTATTTACCCTATATATTAATGACATATGCGCTTGCTTTACTCATGGTAAACCATTCATCTTTGCAGATGACCTCAAAGTAGCTTATACATTCCAATCTGATGACCTAGGGTACTTCCAGAATGTTATACAAAAAGAACTAGATAAAGTGACTGCTTGGTCGTCTTTATGGAACCTCCAATTTAACCTTAAAAAATGTGGCTGGATCTGCTTCGGTGCACCCTCAATCGACATAAAGTTAACGCTTCAATCGGCTAACCTAACCAAACTCCAAAGTGTCGTTGACCTAGGTCTGAGGTACTCGAGTAACCTAACATTCTCTGAGCAAGTGGCATCACAGACTCAAAAGTCGAGAATGCTCTTAGGATGCATACTCAGGAACTTTCACGACAATGAAGCAAAGCTCATTCTGTACAAAACCTGTGTGAGGCCACTACTAGAATACTGTCCATTTATTATTAGCAGCACTCACACACGTGAAAAGCTAAGAATTGAAAGTATCCAACGATATTTTACCTCGAAACTACTAGGCTACGAATGTAAGAAAGACTACATTTCACGGTGCATGATTCTACAACTTGACCCACTCTGGACAAGACGACTAATTATAAACCTAGTATTCTTCTATAAGGTCCTACACAAAATATCATTTTCAGACATTAAGGACATACAATTCGCGCAAGAAGGCTCTTACGATCTGCGTAACCAAAATTGCACAGTGACAATAAAAGCCTTTAAGTCAACACTCCGTGAAAACTTCTTCACAGTCATGTATTCTAAAATATGGAACAATCTGCCCCTAGATATCAGGAACTGCAATACAGTTTTAAGTTTCAAACGCTCTCTGTACACACTATTTCACTCTACCGACTATATAAATAAACTATTTATTCCTAGAACGAATCAACTATTAGTCTACTACAGTACCTAAACGCGCTTGAATACCCTTACTCCCCTAAAGACTATAAATAAACTAGTAGCATAAATGCATAAAAAGACTATTTCACTCTACCGACTGTATAAATAAACTATTTATCCCTAGAACGAATCAACTATTAGTCTACTACAGTACCTAAACGCGCTTGAATACCCTTACTCCCCTAAAGACTATAAATAAACTAGTAGCATAAATGCATAAAAAGACTATTTCACTCTACCGACTATATAAATAAACTATTTATTCCTAGAACGAATCAACTATTAGTCTACTACAGTACCTAAACGCGCTTGAATACCCTTACTCCCCTAAAGACTATAAA